GTGTGTGTGTGTGTGTGTGTGTGTGTGTGTGTGTGTGTGTGTGTGTGTGTGCGTCTAGGCGCGCGCGTGTGCGTCTAGGCGCGCGCGTGTGTGCGTGGGTGCGCGCACGTGTGCGTGCAGGTGAGGTACTACCGACTAAAGATAGGGTCACGCGTGTATGGAGCTATAGTTGTGTGTGTTTCGCGTGGTACGGGCTAGGTGTGTCGCTTGTGGGGTTTCCTTCGCGGTTGCTAGAACGTTGTGCACGGGCCACTAACGTCACGCGCTGGCACAGCCTACTGTGATGTTTCTGTGAACGTACTGTTCTTAGCTTCATGTCGTCGCATTTAACGTTCTCATTCTTTGTTAGTGTCCGCGGCTGCTTCTCTCTACGCGCTCGCTTCAGGCGCCATTTGCTTCAATTATATGCTGTGCGAGGCAGAGAAGCCCCTTTGGTCAGTCATCGACCCCGTGACCGTAAAGCTATATAGCAGCATTTGTTTATCATAAATGTCGAATGTGTGTGGGCATAATAGGTGCCAATGACTGCCCGGCTTATTTGATCAATCAAGAGCAAGCGATAACCCTATTTACTCCTAAACATGAGGCTGGAACGCGCAGGCACGCGAAAACAAGCCAGATTTTAAAAGCCGACTGGACAAACACTCTTATTGACGCGTTTCTATGGGCCTGTATTTGAGTTGCGAACACTAAACGAATGCCAACATTGTGGTGGCGCTTTTTATGTGAGTTCGCATCCAGTGTTTGGCGGACCTGTATATTGCACCGAACTATGGTAGCCTTTTTAGGAACGTGCCAAAGTATGTCTAAATTTACAGTAATTGTTGCATTAAAAAGGCATTAATTTACATGAAGTATTTCATCAGAAATTAATGATGCAAATTGCCTCGAGATGTCGCAGTTATTGATGCTCCTTTATAGGGATATAATCGTAAAGGGTTCCATATGGGAATTAAGCACACCGAGAGTTTTTCGCAAATATAATATCGCCATCATGATTGAATTCCTTTTAAATAGATTGATCGTTATCGCTATTTCTCGTTTAACGAGGTTTTCTCATTAAGGGAGCAAGTTTTTACTGAGAAAAGACCAACGTGTCATCACAGGCAGCCACTTGCTGGTTTCGCCAGTCTGTTGCCTCAATCTACATCATGTCGACGTCTCGACATCGATTTCTTTTTGAGATCGCCGCCTGTACAATTACTGAACAACTTAAGTATAGTTTGGGGTGTGATCACAATTAGCTGCATACGGGCAACTGTAGATTTCCCCTTTGTACTATTGGTTCGGGAACGAGCATGCGGTGATATTTGTCTGTAGCACGATGCTATTTAGGTGGTGCGTAGTGGAGTATAGAGGAGTTCTGGGGGTGTTGGTGTAGCATGTGGCGATTGCTGCTTGTGGGACCATGTTATCAGGGAGTTACCATTAGACGTCAGACTAGGAGAGCATGGAGTGTAACGGAGAGTTGTGTCTTGTGTTGCAGGTGTGCGCATGTTGGATGGGGATGTCACTGACGCTGTGGAGGCGATGTCTCTCAGCTACAACCCGCAGCACATTGACATCTACAGCGCTAGCTGGGGGCCTGACGACGACGGCAAGACAGCCGACGGACCGGCCAGGCTCGCGCGCAAGGCCTTCCTCAACGGAATCACCAACGTAGGCTTCACTGACCGCGCTTGACGTGACCACACGCAACTCTCTCTCTCTCTCTCTCTCTCTCTCTCTCTCTCTCTCTCTCTCTCTCTCTCTCTCTCCTCTCTCCTCTCTCCGCCTCTCTCTCGCTCGCTCGCTCTCTCTCTCTTCTCTCTCTCTCTCTCTCTCGCTCTCTCTCTCTCTCTTCTCTTTCTCTTTCTCCCTCTCTTCTTCTCTCTCACGGACACACATAGTAAATGGTGCTGCGCTCGCTCGTGAGCCGCGGTTATGTTGAGCATGGACGCTGCGTGCATTATTCGTCTACTGGCGCTCTAGCTTGCACTCACGCGCACAGACGCGCCATTGATGTTGTGGAACGGTGATTTGTTATCGCGCTATTATGCAGCGCCAATGTGAAATAGTACCAGCCATTTATACACATGAGCCTAAAGGCAAGGTCCGTATCCTCAAGGTTGCTAGTCATAATACAGGTTACCTGACAGAAATGGTTTAGCATATTCGCAGTAAAGTATATATACTGGTGGCGTGCCATGCGTATTTCAATCTACAGAGCACTTTCGTTTTGAGGAATTTCTTTATCGATTCTTTATTTATACGCGTGCACACTTTTAATGATGCAATATGTATATATGTTCGTGAGTGTGTGCGTGCACAAGTGCGCGCGTGCGTTAGTATATACGTTTCTGCACACGCGCGTGTTTCTATGTGTTACTGTGCCGCAGGTTGTGTGGAGCAACCGACCAATGTGTGCGTGTGCGTGTGCGTGCTGCGTGTTTGCGTGTGCGTGTGGGTGCCGTTGTGCGTGCTGCGCTGTGCGTGTGCGTTGTGGTGTGGTGTGCCGTGTGACGTGTGCGTGTGCTGTGTGTGTGTGGTTGTTGCGGCGCGCGCGGCGTGTGTGTGTTTGTGTTCGGCCGTGTGCGTGCGTGCGTGCGTACGTGTGTGTGTTTGTGTTCGGGTGTGCGTGTATTCGTACGTGTGTGCCTATGCAACTCCTAAGCAAAATAAATATTTGAGCATGTGCATCTATACAGATAGCGTCTGCATGCATCTGTATATAAGAAAGCACAAGTGCATTATTGAGACGACGCCGGTAAATTCTACTAATGGTATAATCTAATCGTTGCAGGGCCGTGGAGGTTTAGGGTCTGTGTTTGTGTGGGCATCGGGCAATGGAGGCAGACAGCGAGATAACTGCAACTGTGATGGCTACACGAACAGCATCTACACTCTCTCAATCAGCAGTGTGACGGAAAAAGGTAAACCTACCCTGGCTGGTACCCGTGGTTTCATTGCCCTGTGAAACCTGATTAAAAATATTAACAGCTATTGTTAGTGCAAACACATCAACAACAATAGACAAGTGTAAATGTTAATGTGCAGTATGATGAATGGGTTTTGTACAGATAAGCCAATGCATATTGGCTGGCTTTTTTACAGATGAATTATAACTCCTTCATGTAAAGGTATTGACCCCCCTCTGTACAAGAAGATTAATTAATGTCTCTTGTACATGTGACTTGGTTCTGCATGTACGGGGGTATATTATCACCATCCTTGCTAGCAAAATCTAAATATTCTAGCAATGTTAGATTAATTACTCTTGTAAGAATGGATTAATTACTCATATATGGTACGTGGTACATGCTACTCCTTCCAAACGTAGCTTAGAGCAGCAGCAACTCCCGCATGAATGTTGCATGTGAAATTGTGGATGTACTGCATGGCACACTTGCACGGTGCTACCGGCGTAGGGGCGGAATGAAATATTGATATTAAAAGACACCCGGCCTGCAGCACAAACGACCAACCGTACCATTTGACTTCGTTTGAGAAAACTACACACTACTATTTGCAACGAGTTGTAAACTCACGCGATAACGTCTGCTGATAACTGTAATGGTTGAAATATTTAGAATAGTTTCTAATTTCCAGCGACATGGTTGCGCAACATTTCTGAAATAGCCAATCACAACTGTAGATAACGTTTTTATTAGCACGTGAGAAACCCCTTTCATAACGAGAATTCGGCTGCCCAGCTGTCTACG